TTAGAGCTTCTGAAAGGATTTCTTTAACATGCAAGAACAAGCAGATTATCGATCGCCTTTGAGATTGTTTCTCTCGAAACAAGGGTTTGTCTTGCTTGAGGCTAATTTACTCAAAACAAAGTTTTGTCTCTCTTGAGACAACTTCTCTTGATACTTCTTTTGAAACAAATTTTATCTCTCTTGAGACAGTTTCCCTTGAAACAAAATCTTTGAATATGTTTCCTTGAAACAAATTTTGTCTCCCTTGAGATAGTTACTTTTGGAACTAAGTTTTGTCTCTCTTGAGATAATTTCTCTTGAAACAAATTTTGTCTCTCTTGAGACAGTTTCCCTTGAAACAAAGTTTTGTCTCTCTTGAGACAATTTCTCTTGAAACACCAGTTTTTGAATATATTTCTCTTGAAACAAGATTTTGCCTCCTTGGAGACAGTTTCTCTTGAAACACAAAAAAACCTTTGAAATCGTTTCTCTTGAAACACAAAAAAAAACCTTTGAAATGTTTCTCTTGAAACGCAAAGACCCTTGAGTTCGATTCCACTCAGCTCGATGACACATCAATCGCACTACTGTCCGATCACAGTCGAGGTTTTCAAGTCGAGAAGAACACCTGGGTTAGTCGTGCCTTAGTGACAAGGAATCGTTTTCCGGCAATATATCTTAAGTCGAGAAAAGCTATCTGTCAAAGAATACCTTTCGAGTTCGATTTCGTTTAGCTTGAAGGCCTGTCAACCATATGGTGGAATCAAGGGACTACTTTCCAGTCAAATTTTTAGCCAAGATCTTTAAATATAGAAGAAGGCCAAAGTGGACTACAATTTGGCAACGAGAAGCCATATTCTAATTCAAATTTCGAACTACGACTTTAATTCTATCTCAAGATAGACTCAACTTCACGACGGAGGAGTCATCTACAACTCAACTCGACAGAGAGTTATTCTTTTAGAGTCAATTTTTCAACTCCGTCGAACGGAAATTTGTGTCTCTTTATCTTTGTCCTATTTTTCGTTCCACGAAAAATGACAAAGAGAGACAGCTGTAGAGACCCATTTTCGTCTGCATTTATTTATTTTTACATATATATCTACATATATATATATATTATAGTTTGTAAACGGTTTTTGAAAATACGTATAATATATAGTTTTTAAAACAATGTTAAAAACTATATTGAAAACTATATTATATATGGTTTTTAAAACATTTTAGAAATATATATAATATATAGTTTTTGAAACCATTTCGAAAACTTATATAATATATAGTTTTTAAAAAACATTTTAGAAAATATATATAATATATAGTTTTTTAAAATCATTTTGAAAACTTATATAATATATGGTTTCGAAAATATTTTTGAATATATATATATATATTATATAGTTTTTAAAACATTATTTTTGAAAAATTATATATTATATAGTTTTTAAAACTATTTTAGAAATTTATATATTATATGTTTTGGGAAAATATTTTTAATAATAATATTGTTATTGTTTATTTTTATTTTTTTAACTTTATTTTTATTTATTTTTAGGTTGGTTTGAGTCCAACAAGTTACAATCAGAATCCAAATGCAGTCCAATAAAGATGGGTCTGATCCAGCCCGGTTAGGTTTAGGGTTTAGAAACCCTAAAGTGATCAGGCAAGGCGCCACACAAGTCAAGGAGAATCCAGCAGCCAAAGGGCGAAACAGACAACCAAAAGCTTCCGGCCGAAGATCCTGGGACTGACCCATCCCAAGATTGTCGGTATCACAAACGGCGTGCAAGAATAGTGGAACAACCACAGCCCATAAATCCTATGCATTTGGGGGCCAATAGCAACCACACCGGGGCTATAAAAGCCCCAGTGAGAGCACTGCCAAGGGGGATCTACACCGAACATCAACGATACACACTACCACACCAACAGATCAAACCAAAGCCAGACACAAACCAATAAAACAACAACACCACCATCGTCGAACCATACGACCAAATATCAGAAAACCAAAAATGTTTTGAATCGACCCACCACAACCATAAAACACAAATCGAACCAAACAAATACCAACCAAACACAAAACATCATATCAATCAAACCCAAAAAACATTACAAATACCAACAAGGACGAAAAAGCCAGGGCCTTTTCTCGTTAAAAGGAGCGAGGGATAGCATCAGAGGAGAAGCGCCGGAGAACGAAGCTTTTCCCCCCAAAAAAGGTGAAATTCGAAACCTTTCAGTTAAGATCTACGACAGTGGGGGTGTCTTTTGGGTGTTTAGGCCTCGGATTTGGGACCGGGGGTAAAAGAGAGCATTCGGTGAAGGTTTCATCTTTTTCGACCACCGGAGGTGGCGGCCGGAGCGGCGACGGACTTGACATCGATGGATTGGGCGATCGAGGGTAAATTGCATCTTAAGCCATCCCACCTTAGTCGTGTTTTACATCTTGGTCCTTGTGGGAGCCAAAATTGTTATTATGCCAATTTGTTATGCATGTTTTAATAATTTGGTTAATATACCGTTGGAGTCCCTCAAACTTATCCGTTTCTTTACACTTTGGTCACAGAACCATTCATTTTAGTTTATTTTAATTTTATTATTAAATCTTATTCTATTTTAATTTAGCCACTATATTTTTCTTTTTTAGCCACTTCTATTTTAATTTTCACATTTTGATCCTTTTATTTTTTGGTTTTTTAAAACTCTTTTTTCATTTTCAAAATTTAATATTTTTATTTTTATTTTATTTCGTTTTTTTATTTTCCCCCTTTTTTATTATTATTTTCTTTTATTAAATTTTAGTTATCTTTATTTTATTTATTTAATTATTATTATATTAACAAATTTTCCTTTTTATTTTTTGTTCTTACAATCTAACAATATTTTTGATCTTTTAGGGGAATTTTCAATTAATTAAATGTAAGTAATTTGAATCTGGTTTTTTAAATTTTAATTTTAATTTTTATTTTTTCGCAATTAAAGACAACCGCCAAATTAATTAGTACCGAAAAGGCGGTTCAAGGGTGCTAATCCTTCATTGACCGTAACCGACTACCGAGCCTGACACGTTTCTGGTAAAATGCATATTAGGTAAGATTGTGTCCGATCTACCTAAATATCATTTTAAAGTGATCGGTGACGACTCTAACCCAATCATTTCAAGTCGAAGCCAAATTCTGACCCAACCGAAAGGTGATTGCGACACGTATGTACCATACATAATCTTTTTATTATTAATACATATATATCTACCTTAAAAAATATTTTTAAATCTGTCACTAACGATATTACTTCATAATATGGCTGTCACTTTTTCCCATATGTATGTGGTAAAGGGAGGTAAGATAGTAGGCTACCCCCAACAACAGGTTGAGAGCAATTTCCGTAAGAGACCTCCGAATTATGAAATGCCCTCCGTGGGACTCGATCCCACGACCTCAAAGTTAAAACCTTGTGCTCTACCAACTGAGCTGGATATTACTTCATAAAATATACTATATGTAAGTAATTCACGAAGATCTGATATTATAATCCAACGTGAAGCAAAAACAAGGGGGGCGACAGAGAGAAAGGGTCATCCAGGATGGTAGCGGAGACGGCTAGAGTGGGACCCCTCGCGGCCGCTGCTGGTTTGGCCACTTGCTCCTCCGCTTCTCCCGTTTGTCGGTCTCTTTGTTTATAAACCAAACTTGGTCAACTTGTGGAAAAGGTAACCATGGTTAAGTCTAAACTTCAATGAACCATGACCAACGTTAACATCTAATCAGTGTTACATCTCAATCTAATCCAATCCTCCACCGTCTAATTCCGGATACGAGTGAATAAAAATTCATAACAAATTAAAATTATGTGTTTAATATCTAAATCATCATTTTTCGTTTTAATATTTAAATTTTTAAATCATAGTAAAAGTTTAATTTTTGTTTTATTTTAATATTTTAATAGCGGATTCAAAAATATTTTCAGGGCGAACACACATATTTTAATAACATAAAATTTTTAAATTGGATGAGTAAAAATAAAATTTTAAGATGGGCACCGTCCATAAATATAAATAACTAATCAAAGAAAACTCAGATTTCAGGGTAGACACCATCAGTAAAATGAGTAATTAATTGAAGGAAATTCGGATTTCATGGTAGGCACGTGCCCACCTTCACCAAGCTCATGGCTTTGCCACCGAGTATTCCGCAGTTAAAAATTTTAGTACACCCATTCAAAATTTAATGTAAAGTTTTGAAAAAATTGAAAGTTTAGGTATTAAAACGAATTAAAACTGATAGTTTATGTACTAAATGTGTTAATTTTTTAACGACAGGCTACTAAAATGAAATGAAAAATAAACGTTAGGTATGATTTAAAAAAAATAGATACTAAAATAAACTAAAACTGTTAATTTAGATATTAAATGCATAGTTTATCCTAAAATTTAACTAAATTCAAAAAAAATATTTTTTGATTGGTTTCAATATTAAAAAAATTATATTTTATTTGATTTAACTTTTAATTTTTAATTTTTTAAACTAAATCTATTTAAAAAATTAAATAGTACCTGAATTATAAAATATGATTTAAATAATTTAATTTTAATATAAATATTATTTAAATTATAAAATAAGACTCATAAACCTTTTTTTTTACGTTTTTTATAGTCTTAATTCTAAGTAATTATAAAATAATATTCATTCAAAAAATTTATTAATCATTGATACTTATATATAAAAACAATTATTTAACTCTAAACCTATAAAAAAACATTTCCTTCAATCATTTAATAAGTTCATCTTGTTTATTTATTTACTATGAATATATAAAGTAATGTAGCACCACTGTTTTATGTCCACGTTCCAAAAAATGAGAGTGGGGTTGGCATCCACCAACTTAACATCTAAAAGAATAGAAGAAAAGCTAATAAAAGATTTTCTCACCCAATTCGTAGTACATGGAGTATTTATTAGAAATAAGAAGATAAAAAAAGACTGCGTTTTCATAAATAAATTTGCTTTTGTCCCCTCTTCTCCTTCCTTTCTTCTTCTTCTTCTGCTTCTCCCCTTTCCTTTGCCTGCACTCCCTTTAAAAAAATGGAAAACCCTTTCTTTTCTTAGCTATCCATATCATTTTCTTCCATCAAGTATCCTTCTTTATAATTTTTCTTCACCTTAAACAAACCCCATCTTAGACAGCTTTTAATCTAAATTAATCCATAAATTATATACTACTCACCCCCTTTTTAAATTACTAATTTTTAATTTTAATCCTTTGTTGTTTCCTTGTTTTGTGTTGTCTTTTTGATGCTGCCATGGCCGGTCTTGATTTAGGAACTGCTTCTCGCTATGCCCATCAGCTTCACAGACCCGACCTTCATCTCCAGCACCAAACCGAATCCCAGGATCATGAAGCTTCCCAAAACCGTGTTGGTGGTGTTGCTCAGTATGGCTCGGCCGATCATCACCAAGAAGATGAGTCGACTCACCAAGGCCTGGACTTGGTCAACGCGGGTCCAGGTGGTGATCTTGGTGCTCGTAGGCCGAGGGGCCGTCCTCCGGGTTCCAAGAACAAGCCGAAGCCACCGGTTATCATAACAAGGGAGAGTGCCAACACGCTCCGAGCTCACATTCTTGAGATTGGGAATGGCTGCGATGTGTTCGACTGCATTTCCAACTACACCAGAAGAAGGCAAAGGGGTATCTGCATATTGAGTGGAACTGGTACGGTGACCAACGTGACCATTAGGCAACCATCGGCTGCTGGAGCTGTACTTACCCTCCATGGCAGATTCGAAATTCTATCACTTTCCGGTTCTTTCCTGCCGCCTCCAGCTCCGCCGGGTGCCACCAGTTTGACAATCTTCTTGGCCGGTGGGCAAGGCCAGGTTGTGGGAGGGAGTGTGGTCGGTGAACTGATGGCCGCGGGACCTGTTATTGTCATAGCTTCGTCGTTCACAAATGTGGCCTACGAGAGACTACCTTTGGAAGAGGATGACCACCTGCAGATGCAAAGCGGCGGCGGCGGCGGAAATAACATGTTTTCCGATGCCGGAGCCGCCCCAGGTGGGTTGCCTTTCTTGAATTTGCCTCTCAATATGCCGCCTAATGTGCAGTTACCTGTTGAAGGATGGCCTGGAAACTCAGGTGGTAACAGGCCTCCGTTTTGAGAGCTTTTCAATGCTAGAAATGGGGAGCCTTGGATCATTAAGGTCAGCAAATTTCATGGACTAGTTATCATCATCATCATCTTCTTCTTCTTACAATTGCTCTTATGTTGATGTTAATTTTAGGTTTTGTTTTCTTAATCTTTGGGATTTTTGGAATCTATGTGGTTTCTGGAAATAGTCCTTTCTTGTTCATGGTTTGATATGATGTATCAAGTATTAACTCGTGTCGGATAATATGATCAGTCACTGAAGTTTCAGTGTTACTAAGAGATCAATTAGGGTTTCCCCTTATCTTTCCAAAATTTGCATCACGTCTTTCATTTCCTAAATATATAGAGATACCCAACAGACATAATAAAGTGCTTGAAACTTTAAAAAAAAAAGGTTGGAAAGTAAATGTTGAACATGGGATTGTGTAATTTGATTTGCATTGTTTTCAGGAGAGAATATAATAATTAGGTTAGGATTTCATAACTGATGATTCTTCTTGTTTCCTGCTATAACCCACCATGGATTTCTGCTTTGACATTGTAATTCAAAGCTTACTTTTTCTTCTTCATTTTCAGCTCCCTTGTATTCACTATCGCATCACATTCTTCTCTGTTGGACTAAACCAAAACATAAGTAAATTTTCATCATTACCAAGGACTGCCTTTCGAAATCTTTGTTAATACGCTCTATAAATATAACTACTTGAACTTGAATTTTTTAAGATATACAATGAGTTGTGCAAAATATATATCTTAAAAGCTGCTATGTTTATATTCAAATATTATATTTTGTTGTTGGTTAAGGATCACTACAGCGGGTGAATGGCTTAAACAGTACTCTTACTTTGATAAATCTAAGTTTTGTTTATTAACAACATTTTCGGGTTTAGTAACATAATCGAATCTCTTTTTCATAACGATAATCAATACCAGATTTAACGAATATTATATTATACATCTTAAAAAGCTTTTTCCGTATATATATATATATATATATATATTCGAAAATTTTGTTGAGATAAATGGTTTTGTTTATTCATGTTGATGCGGATTCCTTGCTTGCTTACGATAATTAATCAAAGCCTACAATTCCGTTTATTAGCAAGAAACAACAATTGAATAATGAGCTTCATTGCTTGGTTTTATATCGCGTAGGTATTCCATCAGTAGTGGAATATATATATTTAAAAATTAAATGTTGTGAATGACTGAATTTATTCCATAAAACCTAGCTATATATATATATATATATATATTCTTTTAGAGTAAGGGAAATGCTCCGGACATATCTAGAATTTTATGTTAAGAATACATTTATAAAATTATAAGATAGGTTAAATTTATAAAATTTTAAGGGAAAGTATATAAAAAAATTGAAAATTTAACGGGTGATTACCCTTGAATTAAAGAGTCAATAAAACCTTTTAAATGGGTTTATTTTAATCTTTAATCTTTAAGAATAGTTTTTACAAGTTAAAGGTTAAAAATAAATAGAGATCCATTAATTGGTCGAGTGGTCAAAGATATTTATGTTATCTCCTTTTGTGTAGATTTGAATTCTACATTTATCTTAGAAATATAATATCTCTTTACTTAATAAAAACCTTTAAAAAGTTGAAAAGACTCACTAAAGAATTTTAAAAAAACCAAGTTAAAATAACTTACAGAAAGAAAAATAAAATTGAATTTACAAGATAATTGTTCGAAGACTATTCCAAAACTATTATTCAATCAAAGTTTGCCTTACAAAGAGCTATGTGTCTTCTTTTTATAGACTCCTAGGTGAAGAATAAAATACAATTCGACTCCATTTAAAACCATTAAAAGATGAAATTGGATTTATCTATTTTTTTCTAATTACTTAAACTCTAAAATTAGATTGCATAAAATAAAATATAATTTATTTTGAAACAAAGTTTCCCTTATAAAAGTACTTACCTTTATCGTATCTGATTCAAATTAATTAATAAAAAATCAAATATCAATAATTATAAAAAAGTCAACTAAATTAATCAAGGTAAATTGGGCCTGTGATGTGGATTACCCTTGGGTTGAATTTTACAAAGTGGTTCATTTAATTAATTAAAACCCAACAATGATAAAATTGAAATAAGTTGACCACTACAGAAGATTTAACCTAAAAAATGGACTAAGCTAATGGAATAACAATTTAATGGGTTTTAGGATGAAATATTTTTTTTCAGCTTAAGGGTGACCAACCCTTTTTTTATTTATAAAATCATTTCAATATCTAATTTTTTATTCAATTAAATCTTTATATTGAAAAGTTGAAGCAGTTAAGTTGATTAAATAAAAATTTATATCAATTTAATCAATTTTAATCATTAAATTTTAACAGTTAAGGGTTATCACTGCTATGTGACATTATGATGCTGTCATCTGGTATTTCAAGATTTAAAGTTTTTATTTTGAAAATTATTTAAATTATTAAAAAAATTAAAAAAATTAAATAATAAAATAAAAGAATAATTTTAAAAATGTGTATAACTAAAACAATAATTTCATCAATCCTATCAACTCAACTCAAAGGCAAATTGTAAAGAGTGAGCCATATAGTTGGTAAATTGGACCAATCCTATGAATCAAACTTCGGCCGATTCTAAAAATACAGAAAAACTGAACAAATATATTTGGTCGGTTGGTTAAATTATTAATTTTTGTTCTCTCGTATTCATTTAATCCGGGTTCTAGACTCACTATAAACACTCTCCTTTTCCTCTCTTTAGGTAGAATTATGATTAGATTTAAAAATTATAAAAATAAAATACAAAAAAACTTTACAAGTTGGCAAAATATAAAACATTAAAATATGAAAATATATAACAATATTTTTTTAAAAAAATATCTGGTTAATTTCCAGCTCTCATCTCCATTCTAATTATCTTGAGAATAGAAGTCAAGAATCTCCTCCACATTAAGCTGAAACAGCGAGGAACTATCATTATTCATCAACCAAAGCATGTGCTCAAACAAGATAGCATCCACATCCACCAATATCACCCTCCTTTTACCATCACTTAGCTCGCCTCCATTATCTCTCTTCATTAAAACCCTAAACGGGCTCTCCTCCAACACAAAAGACTCAACCAAAAACTCCCTCTTCTCTTTGCCTACCACCACCATCACTCGGCGGTCCAACTCACCGTATGCGTCCTCCTCCGTTAGAGTCTGGTATCCCATGCTACGATGTCGCAGTAACGAGGCCGGCAACACCAAGCAACCCATCTTCAAGCAATTGATAACTCGAAATTCAGAAGAGAAGTGTATATAGTAAAATATGAGATGTTAATGACTTAGTCTGGTGCGTTATGACTAGACAAACGAACCATTTATATAATTGTGAAAGCGAGGTAGAAGTGTTCGGCAAGTTCCGGTTGAATAGGCCAAGCAACGGCTAGAGAGGGGGGGGGGGGGAAGAGGGAATATTTATAAGCAAAGCAAGGATAAAGTAGATTAAATTACTATGTATTTTATTGGTTATTTTAGGTATTAAATTTGAATAATATGAAAAATTAGAAATGACCCGTCGTTTTGAGAAAATGTCACACTTAATTACCGGTTCTTTGAGCTTAAGTTGTATTTTATTGCAAATTATAAATTTTGAAATAATTAAATTTATCGAAAGACCTCATTGATAAAAGAAAAATGTTATTTTTAAGAATTTGGATTGAAAAATTGCTTCTACATAGTATATATATGTTATCAAATAAATTAAAAAAATTCTAAACTTATTAAGTTTGTAAACGTAGTTAGGTTTTAATTGGTTAGATTGGCGTAGAAGGTTGAAAACTGAGAATCATATCTGAAATGCATGGTGCGGTAGAACTTGGGAGCCGACCAACTAGACTTGGTGGCTCGAGACCAAACTTGTTTGGTGTGTTTTGGATGTGGCAATGGCTGGTAGCTTCAATAATGATACATGTCAGTTAACCACATTAACATCGGAAATTTTCACTTTTTTTTTTTTGAAATTTATGCTGATAATATTATTGAAAAGTGAGGTGTTAACATTGAGAGGACAATAAAATTAAATTCACAGAAAAATAAATTTATAAATTGTATAGTGGTAAATCTCTTTTTAAAAAATAAATTTATCTCTAATTGTTGCACTGAATGATGCCTCTCGAAGATAACATTACTTTCTTTGTGCCTTGGCAAAGGTATTTAGGTCATATATCAAGCACAACTATGCTTAAATGCACAAAGGCTTAAGAATAATTTATGTATAAGTATATAAGCCAAATCCTAGTTTATTACCAAAGAATGTGCGCAATATGAAAATATATATATACACTATTGTGCATATAATGGCACAAGGATTTTATTCTAAACACGGGTAACCTATACAAGAAAATGAGGGGAAAAAAAGAACCCATGAAAGAGGCTTATTCACCTTATTACCTTCGATACATGAAAGAGAGGCACATGTTTTCTAGCACCTGACCTCGTATGAGCCGGCCTTGGTAATATATCGAACCCACTCGACCGTGCTATACCCACTCTTTTCCCATACCTTCAAAACAAAGTATGATTCCAACATAAATGAACCACGCACACACACATTCAGAATACGTAAGAATGTTTTACCTTAAGAAACCGGACTCGTAAACCAGAGGCCGTAAACATTGGAACCTGAAATTCCATCTGAATCGGTGGCTTCGTCCAACACTTTTTTTCTGTAATGGTGGAAATCAACTCAACTTCTGCACTCAAGGTCGGCTCCGTTTGACCAGGGAATTTTCTTATCCTAGAAAGTGACATTCAACCATCACCAAATTTAATGTAAAAATAAGCCATATATGCACACATGGCAACAGACCAAAACACTTACTTCCAAACCAAGCAATCAATACCGGAATTGTACTTCGCTCGACCTGATGTCACTTGGAAACTCGTCTTAGCTGTCTGTTTTGGTACAGGAATTTTGACGATAACTCCGAGAGCAAACATTTTTGCTACGAAGACGCTTTTAACCTGAAATATTCAAATAAATAGGGGGTCAGCAGAATCATGAGCTTCTAATTTCAAAAATGTTTGATTAGTATTACAAACCTGAACATTTACTTCCATTCGTGTTCGACCAAGTTCCTTGATTGTCGGCAATACCCGGAAAGGAAGATTAACTCCCTCTGTGATTCGGTACCTAAGCATTCATCAATTCAAAATAAATAATATATTGTAGAATCATTGGGAACTCAGATTGTTCATATAGCGTTGATGTTATGATCGGTAGGGACTACTATTTTCCCCTAGGAT